GACCCATGTGGCACTCAGTGAATGAGTCACACTTAGCTGGGCTGCTTCGGCCGCTCTTGCACACGGGTGACTTCCTAAGATCCTCTTGTATGTTCCCAACCTCCCCTGCAAGGCCCCCAGGGGTCTTTGTGGGGTGGCTCTGGGGACTTTCCTGCAGTCCCTTGCCAAGCTCCTTCCAGGGCATCCTGGCCTCCTTCCTCCAGCCTGGAATGCCCTGCTTGCCATTCTGCATTGGCTGGGTGTATATTTATATATTTGTTTGTTTGTTTGTTTTTGAGATAGAGTCTCACTATGTAGCCCTGGCTGGCTTGTAACTTGCTTGGAAGTCGTTATGTAAACCAGGCTGACCTTGAACTCATAGAGATCCGCCTGCCTCTGCTTCTGCCTCCCAAGTACTGGGACTAAAAGTGTGCGCCACCGCCGGGCGGTGGTGGCGCACGCCTTTAATCCCAGCACTCGGGAGGCAGAGCCAGGCGGATCTCTGTGAGTTCGAGGCCAGCCTGGGCTACCAAGTGAGTTCCAGGAGAGGCGCAAAGCTACACAGAGAAACCCTGTCTCGAAAAACCAAAAAAAAAAAAAAAAAAAAAAAAAAAGTGTGCGCCACCACACCCAGGTATTTATTTATTTGTTTGTTTGTTTATTTATTTATTTTGGGGGGCTTTTTGAGACAAAGTGTCGTTATGTAGTCCAGCTGACCTCAATTTCAGCCTTCTTGACTTAGCCTCCTGAGTGCTTGGATTATTATTATTATTTATTATTATTATTATTTTATTATTAGGCTTTTTTTGAGACAGGGTTTGTCTGTGTAGCCCTGACCATCCTGGAACTTGCTCTGTAGACCAGACTGGCCTCAAACTCAGAGATACGCCCGCCTCTGCCTCCTGAGTGCTGGGATTAAAGGCGTGCACCACCACACTACACCTGGCAGAATCCTCTTGATTTTTACTATCCCCCTCCAGCCAGCCTCCAGGACTCCCCTATTGGCCCCCTTGCCTCTCCAGCTCTACAAGCTTCCTGGCCTTGGCTTAGAGGATTGGGTGCACTCTGATTTCCCCTTCTCCAGAATCCTGTACCCCTGACCCAGAAGTATACCAGAGCGATGGCGTGCCCAAACATCCTGCAACTGGAAGACTGTAGTCGGCTTCTGTCCCACCCCCACAGGACAGGCTCCTGCCCAGGCGCCACTTGGCTTGAGACAGATGACAGACAAGACTAAATGGCCCCCAGGAAGGCCAAGCGTTGCCAGGAAGGCGCCGGACACTCCCTCTGGACAGGAAAATATTTTCGTTCGCTCTAATAACAGTCATTAAGGGGCCTGTGCCACATACACTGCAGCCACGGGCTGAGCTTCGGTCTGTCAAGTGGTTCCCAGCACCCTAGGCCAGCACCTCAAGGCCTAGCCCCAAGGCCAGTGTCCACCTGTCTACCCCTCCCATTGCCCTTTACCCACTCAGATAAAGGGAGGAGCAGCTGTCTTACAGCCTTGGGGACCTAGGTTTGATGTCCACCCTATCATTATCAGAATGGCAGGGATTCCTTTTCCGTTCACCTCACCCTCTCACCCTGCCCCTTTGCACTAAACTACACACATACACAACAACAAAGCGCGTAGTCCAAAATTGGAGTCAAGGGCTACCCATTTACCCAGACACTCAGTAACCAAACAAATCTTCACACAGACATGCACAAGTAGGTCCACACACCAGCATGCACTTCAAGACAAACACACAAGCGCACAGACATTACAGTGTGCACACTTACAGTCATGCACAGGTGCAGTACTGCATGAGTATGCATATATACTCATTTAGATGATATGAAATTGCCAGCATTCAGTAATCTTTTTTAATCTTACAAAAATAGAATCTAGCCAAGCATGGTGATACATACCCGTGATCCCAGAACCTGAGGAGCAGAGGCAGGAGGATCAGGAATGGAAGGTCATCCTCAGATACCTAGTAAGTTTTGAGGCCAGCCTGGGGTACATGAGATCTGTCTCAAAACCAAAAGTATAAACAACCAAATTATCCATCAGTGAGTGAATGAATGTGCACATATGATACACATACAAGAGATATTCAGCCTGCATGCTGCAACATGGATGAAACAAAAGCATCGTGCTAAGTGAAAAGAAGGTGTTCGCAAGAAGACAAATGCACCACGAGATTTCCCTAAAAGAAGTCCCTGAGGCAGTTCATGGAGACCGTGGAGAAGGAGGAACGGAAGTGTTGTTTGTGGGTAGATGGGTTTGCAAGATGATGAGCTGGCTGGATGATGTAGTGGTGGGTGTGCTCAATGCCACTGAAGGGCACTGATGGAAGGGTAAAGTCTATGTGTATTTTTACCAAAATTAAAAGTAGTAAACAAGGGCCAGTGAGATGGCTCAGCAGATGAAGGTGCCTGCTGCCAAACCTGAGGACCTGAGTTCGGTCCCCAGGATCCACACGGTAGCAGGCAAGAGCCAGCTCATGAAAGTTGTCCTCTGGCCTTCACACATGTTCTATGGTGTGCACACACACACACACACACACACACACACACACACACACTAAAATAAATAAGGTGAGCACATGCACACACATACACATACTACATAAACAAACAAATAATAAATAAATAATTTTGAAAGGAGTAAACAAGATACAGCACTAAAAATACGTGCCAGAGATAAACAGTGAACTCAGCAGCTCCCAAGCCCTGAACAAATCTCCCCTCCAACAAATCTAGAGATAAGGTCCTAATGAGGACTCTGTTACTCTTGCTGCCCCCGCAGCTCATCACCCTCCCACGGTATGACTTTGTTTACCCAGCTTCTTAACACTCTAGTAGCCTACAACACCCCAGGGAAGGGCTCCTTAGAGGACCCCACTCTCTGGTTTCTGCCCCCGGCACCTGGGATAAAATGGAAGCATTTCAGGTCTTAGACAATGGCTCCCCTAAGCCCTGGGCCCCTGACCTCCCTGCCCGGTTTCCTACCCAGCCTTTCCATCCATCCCTTTCCACCCTGAGTCTTCTTTCAGGGGAGCCTGTGATCTGACCGTAGAACAGATGGACCAAATTCAGTCATACAGGACTGGGTATATACCATAAGGCTTTAGGGGATTCCCGACATCAGGTCTCACTCCTCCACAGGAGGGTGATAAACATTCTACCCTCCCCATTCTGCTACCATGTGCAGTTACCAACTGATGACCCCTTCTTCAGAGCGAAACCACTTCCCCATCCTCTGAGGACAGCCCCATGTGTTACGGAACTATGAACCGTGACTCTCATTGAGGCTGATACCTGCTCCGTTTTCCTCCTGACCTTGCTGTGTGTCTGCCCATTCTCTGAAAGGACCTTTGAATACTCAGCCCCAGTGGAGGGGAGCCTGGCTTTTACCAGGCTCAGAGCTTCCCTGGAGTTCAGTGTGCTGGAAATGCAGCTGTCTACCTTAGCCCACCCCTCCTGGTGCAGGGGCGCAGCTGTTAAAACACTGGCTAAAAAGGCAAGTTCCAAGCATGGCTGCTGATGTGGTTCAGTGGGTAGAGCGTTTGTCTAACGAAGCCCTGGGTTAGAACCTCAGCACTGTATAAACTGGGCATAGTGATGCATGCTGTAATCCCAGCACCGGGGAGGTGGAGGACTGAGGACCAGTAGTCCATGGTCATCCTTGGCTACACAATGAGTTTAAGGCTAGCCTGGGCTACATGAGACTTTTTTATTTAATGTATTTTGCCAGCCTATCTGCATGTCTGGTTCCCACAGAGGCCGTAAGAGGATGTTAAACCTCCCGGAACTGGGAGTTACAAATGTGCCACCATGTGGGTGCTGGGAAATGAACCCTGGCCTTCTGCTAGAGTAACAAGTGTTCTTAACCTCTAAGCTAACACTCCAGGCCCAAGACTCTCTTTTAACAAAAAAGGCACACTCCCATTTAAATGAAAATGTCTTTACAAAACCCAGTACCACGTAAAATGACTATGTGCCAATTAAAAAATCATATTAATAAAATAGAAAAAAAGTCAAGCTCCAACTCTGCCAGTCCCGGAACTTCTGGTATATTCAGAGTGGATGGAGCATGCAAGGTATGTATTTTTACAGTTTCTACTGGGGGTCAGAGTGAGGACTCCTAATCCAGGTCCTTGGAGGATGGGCTCAGAATTGGATTGAGGATGCTGTGAGCACCATGGTTATGGCAGGAGAGGGGGACGTGGTAGGAGATAGAGACCCAGGTGGGAGACAGATGGGTGTTGATGCTCCTGGAGTTCTTATACATCATTCCACCCTCACTGGGGGTCTTACATGTCTGTGGACCAAGGCGTGTACACTACCTACGGTGGTATGTTTGAGGGTTATGGCCAGTTTCTATGTTAGTGTTGGGTTTGTTTTCATGTATTTGGTTGAAATGTGTGTGTGAACCTGTAATCTACATCTGCATGCTGGTCAGTTGTCTGTGTGTTAGCAGATCTGCGTGTGTGTCTCGAGTCATTCGTCTACCATGGTCTGTGTGTGTGTGAATGTGTGTGTCCTTGAACACCCCTAACCCGTGTGTGTGTGTGTGTGTGTGTGTGTGTGTGTGTGTGTGTGTGTGAGAGAGAGAGAGAGAGAGAGAGACAGACAGACAGACAGACAGACAGATGTAACCTCTGCTGGTGGCCGAGGGTCAAGGTCGCAGGTTTGTGCTGTGTTCCCCTGTAAGGAGTGCCTGGAGAAGAGCCAGCAGTATGCTCTAAGGGCCTGGCACTGCCACTTCCCCGAGCGGGCGAGTCCCAACAGCAGACAGACAGGTGGGGCTGACCCAACAGGTTCCTAAGGCCAGGGGCGATGGGGCGGAGCATGGTTCAGACTTAGGGTGGCAACAGTTTGGGGGCCCTGCCACACACTTGGGGCTGGCAAGCTGGAGGCAGTACCTTCTTTCTACAGCAGCCAACCCAGGTGCAAGCCATGGAGCCTCGGGTGGGTAGGGCACTAGATGGACGCACACATTCGGCAGCCTAGTGCCCGGAGGGACCCAGGGCATGGCAGGACCCCTGCGGAGCCGGGTGGAGGAGCTGAAGCGGCCCTGGTGGAGGGAGAGCTCGCCCCTGGTGCTCCAGCACAGTGAGGCTGCAAGGCTTGCTGCGGATGCCCTCCTAGAGAGGGGTGAGGCTGCCTACCTTCAGGTCATCTCTGAAGAGCGGGAACTGCCCTTCCTGAGTGCCCTGGACGTGGACTACATGATCAGCCATGTGCGTGGAGTTCCCGAGCTCAGTGAGGCCCAGGGGTCCGAGACCTTAGGGCATGACCGCCTCAGCATGCTCTCTGAAGTTACCTCAGGCACCTACTTCCCCATGGCTTCTGACTTAGATCCCCCAGACCTGGACCTGGGCTGGCCCGAAGTGCCACAGGCCACAGGTTTCAGCCCCACCCAGGCGGTGGTTCATTTCCAGAGGGACAAGGGCAAGAGCATCAAGGACCTGCTGCGATTCCTCTTCAGCCAGGCCCACACGGTAAGGGCCTCACCTCTTCCTTCATTTCACAGACACGGATGTGGCTCACAGGGGAAAGGGGATCAGTTTGAACCACACAAAAGCTTAAGTGGGGAACTGGGACTAGTCTCTGGCCTCTGTTAGATCCCCAGCTGCTAGAGGATGGGCGGGCGCTTTCTTTTCCATTGGCACTCATGAACATTATTAATTAAGCATAGAACAGGGCATAGGACTCTGGGACTTCACCCCTGGGAGTGCAGGTGAAATTATTGGAAGGAAAGAAAGAGAAAGGAGTCTATCACCTTCATCAGATTCTCAAAATAAATACATTAATTAATTACAATTTATTTTTTGTTTGTTTGTTTATTTATTTTTGAGACAGGGTTTCTCTGTGGAATGGCCCTGGCTATCCTGAAACTTCTTTTGTAGACCAGGCTGGCCCTGAACTCACAGAGATCCACCTGCTTCTGCCTCCTGAGTGCTGGGATTAAAGGCATGCGCCACCACCACGCAGTTTTAAGATTTGTTTTTATTTAATGTTCGTGAGTGTTTTGCCTGTCTGCATGTATGTGCACCATATACATGCCTGGAGTCAGTGAAGGCCAGAGGAAGGTGTTGAATCCCATGCAACTAGAACTACCTACTGTTGTGAGCTACCATGAATGCTGGGAATCGAACCCCAGTCCTCTGGAAGAGCAGCCAGTGCTTGTTCTTAAGCACTGAACTAAGTTTTATGATCTCCCAGACTAAGAACTCAACCATGGTAAACATCTGAGCTACAGCCTTGACTTACAAAGAAAGAAGCTGAGGCCAGAGAGGGGCTAGAAGAAAGTATCCTAGAGAGGTTGTGGAGGTCTGGGAGGGAGGTTTCTGACTCTACCCGGCATGGCTCAGCTTATCCCCAGATGCCTATCAACCCCTGCGCTGCAGCAACAGCTGGGCCTGAAGCAGGGCCTTGGGCACTGGCACATGGGTTTTGGCATGGGCTAAGCTTTTAGTTTGGCACTAAGGAGGACTGAAGAGTGAAAGCCGCTGGGCTTGGGGACATTAGGAAGGGGCAATCACATCTGGGAAGCCCCTGGCCTCGGAGCAATATAGCTTCACTGGTGGAGGCCTGGCTCCTACTCAGATGAGGGAATAGCTATGAAAACCCCTGGCAGGGTTTGAGATGAGTTAGACTCCTGCTGCAGAGACGAAGAGCCAGGGTCCCACCAGCACCTCCAAAGCCCTGCTAGCAAGCTTGCCTGTGCCCGAGGCACAGGAGGGCTGAGTTTGATTGGCATCGAGCACGGGGTAATTAGCGAGGTTGTTGCTGTTGTCATCGCTGTCCCCCTTTGATCTGCTTCCCCCCACACTGGCTAGACCTGTGCTTCATACGAGAGAATCCCCAGTGCCCTGCCTGCTCACCTCCAATTAGACTTTCTGCCCCTGGGCTAAGAGTCGGGCTGCTGGACTGAGCTGCCACCCGCTCTGAGTGACCTCCGAAGTGTCTTCTCTCCCCGTAGCCCGTAGCCCGGTGTTGTCCGTTTGCTGAGAAGGCAGCAGGAGAGGGGGAGGCATGGTTAGTGAGCTTCTGCTGGGTGTCCAGTCCAGCGTCTTCACATTTATCTCTTGTAACTATGAGATACGCTCCATTTAGCAGACAAGGAAGCTGAGGCTCCCTAGGTGAGCCCAGGACTCTACTTCTAGGAAGTGGAGGAATGTGGATTTGAACCCACTTCCTTTTGGCTCCAAGCTGCAGGGGTAGGCTCTGACCCTCCTGCTCCTAGGCCCTTTGTAGGACAGAAGACTCCCACAGTAGACGCACACGATGGGAAGAAGGGGTGCCTGGAGGCTTAAGGAATACCCTGTATGTTGGAGGCACACGCCCCAGCCCTCAAGTGAGTGGAAAGCCTGGGTCCCCTTAGCGCAAGCGGAAGTAAAGGAGCCTGTGAATATATAGTACACTCGAGACCTCTGCAGCTTCACAAGCAACTGAGGTTTGGTAAAAGACACAGAAATCCAAGGACTGGATTGCAGCTTTCTCTGTTGTAGGAGAGCCTCAGACAGTCCTAGGCCAGAGCAGAGCTGGTACCAATGAGGATTATGGGGGAACAGGCCTGGAAACTGGGGTCTGCTTCTGACTCCTGCCTTCTCTGATCCTCCAAAGAGCAGAGCTTTAGACTAACATAGTTGATCTATGGACATCTCTGAGAATCTGTTACCATGTCCACAGGAAAAATCCTCAAAGACTTTCAAACAACCATCGGTTCAAGACAGTCAGTTTTCCCTGTGCCCAAGCTAAGAATGCCAGGGTAAGGCAGGCATGGTGGCACATTCCTGTAACCCCAATAATCAGGGGGCTAAGACAGGAGTGAGCTCAAGGCCAGCTTGGATTACTAGGTTACAGAATTTGACCCTGTCAAAAAAAAAAAAGAATCCAATTCCGGTGTTGCGTCCTGGCTTTCAACCCCATACTTTTCCTGGGACCGAACATTCTGCCTCCTTCAGGTGGTGGCTGTGGTGATGGACATATTCACTGACATGGAGCTTCTGTGTGACCTGATGGAGGCCTCCAGCCGACGTGGCGTCCCTGTCTACCTCCTTCTGGCTCAGGAGCACCTGAAGTACTTCCTGGAGATGTGTTATAAGATGGACCTCAATGGGGGGCACCTGGTGGTGAGTATGGGCTGAGGGCTTCAAACATGGGAAGAGGAGGGAATTGGGAGCGCAGGAGGACCAGCTCGTAGTCAGTGAGCAATAGGGGAGTCAGCTGGAGCTGCTGGTAACAGTTCCTTTAACTGTGTGGGACCAGACACCCTTGGGTCACAGACACGGCCTGAGCGCCGCTTTATACTTTGTTCTTCAATTTATTTTTATTATTTTAAATTGTGGGTATGTGCGTGTGAGCGCAGGTGCTCATGGAGGCCAGAGGCGTCAGACTGCCCTTGTGCCGAAGTCCTAGGGAGCTGTGAGCCACGTCACAGGAAGAATCTGGAATAGAACTCAAGGCTTCTGAAAGAGTGCTCTTAACTACTGAGTCTTCTCTCCAGCCCGAGTTCCACTTCCCTTCCTAAGCTCACCAGCCTCCCTCTGCTCTTGGCCCAGAACATGCGTGTGCGGAGCACGTGTGGAGACACATACTGCAGCAAGGCCGGCCGCCGATTCACCGGGCAGGCCCTGGAGAAGTTCGTCATCATTGACTGTGAGCAGGTGGTGGCAGGCAGTTACAGGTGAGGTGATTAAAGGGCGAGGGGCCTGGGGCTGTGCCATGCTCTAGTAAGGGCATCGCAGACCTGCCTGCTTTGAATTTCTTCCATCTATCCCTTCAAACATGTATGAGGCACCTGCTGCTGTGTGCTAGGCACCCTGCAGGGCAAGGGGTAGATGGGAGCCCACTCTACTTAATGCCTTGGCATAGAAAGTAGCTACTGCACATGGGAAGCAGAAGGACTTCGGAGACCCTCATCCCTGACCCAGCTCTAGTTATGACTCCTGCTGAGCCCTGGACTCTATGCTTTGACTCCTGACTCTGGCCCCCTCTGTCCCTAGCTTCACCTGGCTTTGCAGTCAGGCCCACACCAGCATGGTGCTGCAGCTGAGGGGCCACATTGTGGAAGACTTTGATCGCGAGTTCCGGTGTCTGTATGCTGAGTCACAGCCTGTGGAAGGCTTCTGTGGCAATGAGGATCCACTGTCTTCCCGGCTACCTCGTCCTCAGCCTGTGACCCTGGCCTTTGGACCTGGAATTCCAAGTGCGACAGGCTCCTCCCCCTCCAGCAACAGCCTCAGCAGCATCAAGCACTCGCCTCTTCTGGGCCGTTCTTCCTATCTGGCTCTACCAGGAGGTGGTGGCTGCAGTGACATGGGTATGGGGTCTTCATCTCCAGGTCCTGCCCACCATGAAGCTGGCGGCCCACCATCCTTGTACCGTCAGCTTTCAGATCCCAACCATAGCTCCACTCCTGGACCCTACAGGGCCAACCTGAGCAAGCTGGGGGCATCTCCATGGTCCCAGTCTTCTCCTGCCCTCAACCACTGTAGTGCCAGTCCCTTGACCCTGGCAGTGGGGTCACCTCTGCTCCCATGTTCCCGCCCCCTCCTCCACTTTACTAGGGGGGTCCCAGCACTGTCCCGGCTTCCAGAGAATGGGCTCCCAGCAAGTCAAGAGCCCATTCTTCCACGAGGTCGCTGGGTACCTGGCACAGCTCTGGAGACTGTGGAAGAGAAGAAGATGATATCTTTGAGTCAGAGCCATGATCACCTGGATCTCCTTGTCCCCTTCCCTAAAGCAGGAGAAGCAGGAGGTCCCAATTCTAGAGTTACCCCCAATTCAGGTTCCCTTCAGCATGGTGAGCAGGCCCTAGATGATAGGAGATTGTCCCTGAGCCACAGCTACAGCCAGCTGGATCTCCTGTCCCAGGGCCAGGGTGTCCTTGAGTCAGGTTCCCTCAGACAGGGTGATCTGGGTCAGGAGGATGACAGGAAGCTGTCCTTAAACCACAACCATGGCCAACTGGACCTTCTGCCACAAAACCCCAAGGCCCAGGCCTCTAAAATACCCCCTGATGCCAATTCTTCAGCCAGGCCTGGCAAGCAGAGTCTAGATGAACGACGGCAGACCCTAGGTCACAGTCAGCTGGACCTCATCACCAAATTTGGCCCATTCCGGAGTGAGGGGCCTGGACCCAATGGTCCCCCAGAACCAAGCCCAGTTCGCATTGCCGGAGTAGGCTCTGCAGATGAGAAGCGGCTGACTCTGGGCCACAGCAAACTGGACCTCATCACCAAGTATCATCAACTACAGGGTGCCAGGCAGAGACCTGAGCCAGGCCTCCCGGGAGCTCCCATAAGTGGCCATCAAAATGGTAATAACAATGACCTATTTGCACCTGAGAAACGGCTGACCTTGGGCCACAGCAAACTGGACCTCATCACTAAGTATAACAAGTCCAAATTCAAGCAGCTCCGAAGTCGCTTTGAGTCCTAACTCTGGTCCTAGCAGGGACAGACCCTCCCTCCATCCACAGAGTTGACATGTTCAGGTTCAAGACGGCAGCATGAGAGTATAAAGCTGGGGTGCCACATAAGGAAGTCAGGCATCTAGCAGCCCAGGTCAGACACTCCCTGGGCTCAAGACTCTTCTACACACACCATAGGCATACATACAAACAGAACCCAGAGTTACCGAGTGTTTTCTGTATGTCACTGGGGCTGGGCACTTCACACCTTATTCTCATTCTCCATATCCTCTACATGGACCTCTTGTGGGCATATAGCTATACTAAGTATTATCTCCTCCTCGATTTTTTTTTTAAAGTTTTGGAAACCAGAACATTTATCCTATGACTGACTGAAATCTTCTAGAATAACTGGATGCTGCAACAGCTGCCCTCTTGGCTTTTGGTGTTGTGCTTTCACAGAATCCGTATCTGAATCTTCACTAGACAATTTTTGGGTGCCTCATCCACCTAGTCCCGGTAGCATGCCATCTCTTAGCCTTGGCACTCCGGCTGTCCTTTCTTCTGCACCTGGCAGCGGAGCCGCATTCACCACAGGTGATTTCTGAAGGTGGCAGGCTTCAGAGCCACAGCAGCAGTACAGTGTGTGCACCTTATTGTGATGCTTTCCAAAGGATGACCTTCCTTTCCTCGTCTTCTTTCTGCCACAGAGGCCAGAGAGTCTGGAAGGTATTCTTCCCGATTTATAAGTATGGGAGCTGAAGTCCAGAATTTGGATGGTTAATTTGGAGGCAGAGCTAAGTAAAGGACAGGGTGGGGAACTCTCCCAGTCCAGGTGCCCCTGGCTTTTAACATGTATTTTGTTTGCACAGACCCAACACACAGTATCTGTAGTTCCTGTACACAAAATACAGACACTACAAGGATGCCCCAGGTGCCCATACAGTGTACACAGAACAGTGACTAGGTATAACCATAGATGCACAGTGAGTACACACAGCTCTAGGTGATGAGCTCAGACAGAACTTCAGTTGCAAGCACTTAGCCTCGTTTGCCTAAATGAATGGCCACAGAAAATACATGCATTCAGTACACACTGCTGAAACCCCTTGAGATTCACAAACTACAAATACACGTGACCCCCATCCTAGCTCTGCTTGTAAAGCCCTGCTCTGAACTTGCTACAGAGCTGAGAGATTGCAATCTTGAGGGCTACAGCTTATATGCACAAACCACAGAAAACATGGCAGAGATGTATCATATGACGGAGAGTCATGGAGATGGTGGAGCAATGGGGAAAGTTTCTCAGAGAGAAGCTGACTTTGAGGCAGGTCTTGAAGGATGGGGTTAGGGACAGAGGCAGACGCGGGAGAGAGTTAGAATTCTTGGTAGAGTAAGTCGGATGGAAAGAGGGCTCAGTGAGCTAGTCTGGGGTAAACTGAGGAAGATAAGCAGAGCATGTGGACGGACACTTAGGACACAAAAACAGGCCACCTTGCTGAACGTCTCTTGAAGCTCAGGTTGCAATTGGTCGTGGGCCTTTCTCCTGAACTCACCACCCGCCTGAGACAGGGCATGCTACCAATCAATAAAGGCAGATGTGGTTAGACCCAGTAGCGACCTGATGTGTTCGAAGTTGTGGGATTACATGATGGGGATGGGGGAAAGGCAACATTCAGGCCCTTTTCGGATTAATAGCGTTCCTTGGAGAAGACTGAAAGGCATTCGGGTCTGAGGTAAGGGGTTCTTAGCTTCTTCCTTCTTTGCTGTGGCATTCTGGGACACCCTGAGGATGTCTGTAGATTCTACAATAGATGAGTCAAGTTTAATCTGTCTATGAAAACGGGCCACACCACTATCCCCAGGGCAGATGGTGGCTGCTGGGGTGTGTGTGTGTGTGTGTGTGTGTGTGCGCGCGCGCGCGCTAAACTTCGTAAGAACACATCAAGGAAGCAAGTCATAACTCACATCTTTGTCCACCCTAGACCCCCTTCTCCAGTCTCCCCAACACCCAGCTTCACACATCTCCCCCTCTTTCCTATATCTTCTTCAGTCTGTTTCCTATGGCTCTCGGCATGCCCTCTCCAACCACTTTGTCCTGGTCTTGGTTCTCCCTACTGGACGATCTCCTGGGTGATTTAATCCTCGGGATTTAATCCTCAGCCCCTGACTCTCGCCTCTGCTCCAGCTTCTCATTTCCGTCCGCGTGGCCAGGCTGGGATCATCCCCTTTCCCAAACCGGCCCCTTCTCCCTCCGGCCTTATTCGGTAAACACATCCCTCATCAACCCATCTTCAGCCAGACAACACTGGTTCCTCTCCCTCGAACATTCATCTGCCCAGCCTCAAGTCTGGTTGATTATTCCTTCTAAAAGACCCACTAGCGAGGGAAGCCAACAGCCGACGGCGAGAACACCATGCATAGGAGGGTTGGGCGGAGCCAAACCAAACCACTAGCAACCATAGAGTCCTCCTAAAGGGTGGGGCTAGAGAGGCCGCCAGCTTGGCTTGGCTCCCGCGCGCTCCCGGAAGCCCGCCCCGGGAGGAGGCGGAAACGGAAAGCTAGTACGGGAGAAGTAGTTCCAGCGTGTGGAGATTGGAGTCGTTTGGTGAGCTGGTGGGACGCTGGGCGGCAAGGGTCAGTTCGGGGCCCCGAGGCGGGAGGATTTGGGGCAGGAGAGTCAGGAGGGATCCCGTGGGCGCGACCCGGGGTCCGAGGGGCCTGAGAGGGCGGGGGTCTGAGGAAGCGAGGTGGGTTGAGCCGGCTCCTGAGACGACCTGTCGCCCCAGATCCCGCAGTCGCGCTGCCCCCAGCTTCTTTCATGGCGGTCAGAGCGTCGTTCGAGAACAACTGTGAGGTCGGTTGTTTCGCCAAGCTCACGAACACCTACTGCCTGGTGGCCATCGGAGGGTCGGAGAACTTCTACAGGTGAGACGAGAGCTCCTGGTCCTGTGGCGGGGTGGGGGGAGGGAGGGAAGGGAAGGGGTGCTGGGGGCGAGAGGTCCGGCAGAGTGAGGGACCCCAGGAACCAGCGACTCCGTGTTTCTGCAGTGTGTTCGAGGGCGAGCTCTCCGAAACCATTCCCGTGGTGCATGCATCCATCGCCGGCTGCCGAATCATCGGGCGCATGTGTGTGGGTAAGGCAGGTGGAAGACGCCGAGGGACGAGTGGAGCCTCGAAGCACTATGAGTCAATCATTAACTCCTGGACCTTACTTACCCCAGTGATCCAGGGATTTCCAGGCTTTCAATCTCGGTGGACTCTGGAGTCTGTCAGGGGTGGGTGGGACTCAGTCTAATTGCAGATCAAGAATGCTAGACTTCGTGAGAGGAGTCATAGCAAAATAATATTAAGTGCTTTGATTCTTGATCTCATTTTTCCTTCACAGTAATACTGGAAAGTAGGGATTGCTTTAGTTAGACTATTGAGGAGACACACTCAGAGGTATGTGACTCACCGTGTTCCACTCCTAGGGTGGAGGAGGATTTGAATCCCGTCTCTTTCATGCCTCTGGTTATACACAAGTTGCTTCATGGTTTTGAGCATTAATTTCTGCCTCAGCAAAATCCCTAAGATTCCCAGGTCATCCTGTTTCCAGCTACATTTAAATCTTGCATCTCTGAATATGTCTCTTGAATGGCACTTTCACACTTTGACCTCCAAGAACCGCTGAATGGCCTCCAACCTTCATTTCTTTTTCTTTCCCTTCCATGTTGGCCTCGGTTGCACTGTCCCTGTAGCTGAGAATGACCTAGAACTCCTGATATACTTGCATCTGAAGCGTGATCCTAACAAGTTTTGGGATTAGTATGTGTGTTTCATTGTGCCTAAGCAGTCCTTTCTTTAACCTGCCTGTCCACCTTTTTTTTTTGATTCTACACGTTGGGGCTATCCAGACCTTTATTTACCTTTAAAAAATGTTTAAGCATAGCATGGATGATGACTCTACTTAGTTTCTTATTTACTTCAGCACTCAGATCTTTAATAATGAGAACCTTTAGCCATGTCCTTTGGATATGAAACAAATTCTGACACGATTTGGGAAATTTTACCTGGTCTTTGGTCTGAGTTAATGAAAGTAACTTGAAGTTCAGAACTGTGGTTCCTAAGGCTAGGCAGAAGTTTAACTGTAGATGTCATAATGTGGTGTAGTTCCTTCACGTTGTTGAATGCTTTGTATAAACATTCTAGTATAAGGAGTATTTAGACAGTTTTTAGTTTGGTGTCTTACGAATAGTACTACTCTGTAAATATGAACATACGTACATATTTCTATTGGATATATAATACCCATGAGTGGAATGAAATAGTCACAGGGTGTGTGACAGTTTAGTGTCGTAGATGATACCAGTAATTATCTGAAGTAGATGGCCATTCATTGTACACTCCTGTCAGCATAGAGTTCTGGTTGTTCCATGTATTATTGCTATCACTTGATGGTCTTTGAACAATTTTAGCTATCCAGGTGGTATGTAATGGTAGCACAATAATGCCAAGAGCCTTCCTTGCTAGTCCTGAACTCCCCACCCCCATAGTAGATAATGATAAGGTGGGTGATGTTTGTTGGGATAGATTCTCAGCCATCTGAGGCCTGTCCAGGGGACCTGTGGTTCATATGTGGATCTGTAGGTTGGGGTTTGAGCTTAGAGCTCTCCTAGAAAAGCTAATTGGGTTAGAATGGGAGATATCCCAGGAAGCAGCTCCTATGCTCATGGTTTATCTTTATCCCACCTTACAATTTTGTTCTCTTTAGGGAACAGGCATGGGCTACTGGTACCCAACAACACCACGGACCAGGAGCTGCAGCATATCCGAAACAGCCTTCCAGATTCGGTGCAGATACGGAGGGTGGAGGAGCGGCTCTCAGCCCTGGGCAATGTCACCACCTGCAATGACTATGTGGCCTTGGTCCACCCAGACTTGGACAGGGTGAGGTGGCAGCTTGGTCTGGAAGTTACAGGACTAGCCTAGCTAATAATGGTTAGCCATTATTCCTCCAAGGCAGGAATTAAGGGTTTCACTTGTATATTTCCTGTTATCTCAGCACTCAAGTTTCTTACTCTCATGGGAATAGTATAAGGGCCTTTATCAGTATCAGGCTGGGGAGGGCATTAATCCTTCAGCGTTGGGGAGAGTGGCCTATTCAGTCTTGGACCATGGGCCATGAGAGTTGGTTGACAGTTGAGCTAGGGTATGTATTAGTGAAAAGGGTGACATGGAGCCAAGACTCATGTTTCTCAGGGCTTGCCTAGGTTTTAGGAGCTCCAGGCTAGGCCTAGACTCTTAGCCATACCCATGTCTTACTCAGTGAGGCTTCCACGTGCAAATGTGTAGTAAAGACTCAGGGTTGCTTAGAGAGCCCCTGGATGTTTGGCTTACATGTTCTGGATCCTGGGCACAGTACCTTTGGTCAGCAGGAGACAGAAGAAATCCTGGCTGATGTGCTCAAGGTGGAAGTCTTCAGACAGACCGTTGCTGACCAGGTGTTAGTAGGAAGCTACTGTGTCTTCAGTAATCAAGGAGGTCTGGTGCACCCTAAGACTTCAATCGAGGACCAGGACGAGCTGTCCTCCCTTCTTCAGGTTCCCCTTGTGGTAAGCATTCCTGCCTTCTGACCCCTGTCTACTAGATGCAATCTCTTTTGTCAGTCCTTGGGAGTCTGGGTCATTATCTTCCCTGGTTTGGGACTGGGGCCTTGAGACACGAAACTTTGGGAGAAGAGTCCTCACTTGAAGCAAGAGAATTTGCTTTGGTGCCATGACTTATATTGAGCTCAAACCTCTGCAGGCAGGCACTGTGAACCGAGGGAGTGAGGTGATTGCTGCTGGGATGGTAGTGAATGATTGGTGTGCTTTCTGTGGTCTGGACACAACCAGCACAGAGCTGTCGGTGGTGGAGAGCGTTTTCAAGCTGAACGATTCCAAGCCTAGTACCATTGCCACCAGCATGCGGGATTCCCTCATTGACAGGTAACTTTGCCTTGTTTTGTTTTTGTCTTTCGAGGCAGGGTTTCTCTGTGTAACCCTGGCTATCCTGGAACTCAGAGATTCACCTGCCTCTGCCTCCCAAATGCTGGGATTCAAGGTATGCGCCACCATGCTCAGCTCACTCTGTCTTTGAGAGGAGAGGAAGAAGCATCCTTGAATGAGAGCCATGTTGTGTTTGGGAGGTTTTCCCCAAATCTCGAGTGAATGTGCATACCGACTTAGAGCATCTGCTCATACTCAGTCTTCCTTGAAGACTGGGCTCTCTAGGCAGACCTTTCCTGTATTCATCTCTTTTGATTTCTGACCATGTTTTTGCATTTGAATTTACCTATGTGTCCGTTGTCTCCAACTGGTGGCCTAAGCCCTGAGATAGAAAAGAGCTGTTGGCTAGGAAAGCTTCCTCTTAATCACTGGGGAGACCCTAGATTGCTAAGGGTGCGCTTAAACAGGTTGCAGGTGGATTTTTGTATCGAAATCATGGTTTAGACCAGTGGTTCTCAATCTGTATTTTTGTATCGAAATCATGGTTTAGACAAAGGGTTCTCAACCCCTTTGGAGGTTGAATGACCCTTTCCCAGGATTGCATATCAGACACCCCCCCACCCCCAGCCCCCGAGAGACAGGGTCTCTCTTTGTAGCTTTGGCGCCTTTCCTGGAACTCACTCTGTAGCCCAGGCTGGCCTCAGACTCAGAGATCCACTGCCTCCCGAGTGCTGGGATTAAAGGCGTGCGCTACCACTGCCTGGCGAGTATCAGATATCTTGCATATCAGATATTTTTATTATGATTCATAACAGTAGCAAAATTACAGTCTTGAAATAGTAACGAAATAGTTTTAGAGTTGGGGGTCACCACAACATGAGGATTTTTAAGGGTCACAGCGTTAGGGAGGTTGAGAACCACTGGTCTAGACTTGTGGATTAAAAAGCTAACCAAGCTAGGCATGGTTGCTCACTGTCATCACTTGGGAGGCTGGGCCGAGACTTGACTCTTATCTGGAAGAGCAGCAGGGGCAGGTGCTGGGTACTTTGGCCTCCTTTCTTTCAGCCTGCCAGGGACCTTTCTTAGGGCATGCCATGCCCAACTAACAGACACATCTATGAGAATAGAAAGCTTACCTCGGAAGGACTTTTACCCTTTATCCTGTTGCATCTGTTTGCACTGATGCCCACGGATAAGGCTGCATGGGGGTAATCAGGTAGGGTAGTTCTGTATCCTGTCCCTGAGGGGTTCACAGTGTACATGGGAGATATGTTTGCTATCTGTAACTTCTAGCTGTTAAATGAGAAACAAACAGTTCCTTAATTGTCCCCATATGGGCAGCTTGTGAAACTGGTGGGAAGTCTTCTGGGATTTATAGAGGTTTTATGAGTGATATTTAGTCTGCTTCAGGGGATAAGGATGTGTTTAAATATGGAGAAAAGAGTGAGGAAGAAGAACCTCATACAGATAGAGAGATGGGAAAATACTGAGTATGTGAAGGATAAACGTTTCCCTAGAGGCTGAGGGCTTTAGATTCCAGTATCAGCAAGTTTTGATTGTTAACCTGAGATTTTGAGCTTTAGTGGATGTTGGGTTGCTTGTTTATGTAGATTCTTAGTGCAAGTCTCTCAGAGGTTCTGACTGTACATGGAATACAGTCCAACTCTGTGTTTGGTTCTTTAAAAGATGGTGTCATGTGACCCAGGCTGGTGATGTGGTGTGGCTAGAGGTATGTGCCACCACACCTGGCTGTGTGCATGTGTTTAAATAAGCTACTTTGAGAAATGATGAGGACATTTTGGTACTCCCTCTGACTAACTGCTGTCAGAGCTGTTGAACAATTGAGAGCTTATGCACTCTAGGCAAATGCTGTACTGTTGAGCTACACCCCAGCCTGAGAAGTTGTTCCACAGCGTTTTATGTGCCAGAATATTAACTTGATGATCAAAACACGCCCTGTCCTTTGGAACATATAGCAAAAAACGATAGCAAAATATTGTCAATTATAGAAACGGTATTAAAGTTAAGCAGAACTGCTAGCTGCAGGCTAGTGTGTTCTGGTCGTCCTGCCTATGCTATTAGACAGTAGAAAGAGAAGGGCATTGGGAAGGAAGGGAAGCCTCCATAGTCAGTTTCCTTTGGTTTTTGGACATGTTTTGGGGAGCCCATAAGATGCCAGGTTGGCATGGGGAGGTAGTATAGTGGGTAATACTTGCTGGGTAAGCAGTATTCCCAGCACCCACATAAAAACTGGGCCTGTGCCACATGTCTGGAACTCTAGTGCTGGGGGCTCACTGGCCAGACAGTCTAGCAGAAGTAATGAGCTCCAGGTTCAGTGAGAGACCCTGTCTCAAAAAAATAAATTGGAAAGACAACTGAGAAAGACACATGACGTCAACCTCTGTACATGGCTGCGTACACAATAAGCATTCCGGTTTCATTATCAGGCAATGATTACCACCTCCAATAGGAGTGAGTTCACTTAGCCCTTGTAGAGCAGATCTGTTTTCCAGTCTAGTATTTGTGGCCTTTTGTATTAGCAGTTCTGGAAAAGGAGGCCAAAGTTTTGGCCTCAGCCTGGCCTCTGCGAGACTGGTCTGGGCACATCTTGTTCTCACCGACCTTCCTTGCTTCTATCTCTTATGTTCTGAAGCTCGAGTTTATGATCAGTAACTGAATAAATTGGAGAAAGGTGGCCCAATGAGGAAAGAATTGGTTTTACTTTTCGTACCTGGAGAGTTTAGGCTAGACCTTCATATACAGGATTTGTTGGAATCTGGAAACTTGGTGGGGACAGGTGTAGCTTCTCAACGACTGAACTAGAACAAGTCAAAGGGTGGGGCAGCATGTATCCTGTAAAACAGCTACTGACAATACACTTTTCTCTCTTCAGCCTCACATGAGTCACCTTCCATGCTGTTGTGTGGGCTCCTGCCTCTGGACTTCGGCTCATTTTTCATGCCTGAGCTAGTCTGTAACAAATACTGGCAGCAGGGCATGGCAGAGCTCACCAGAGCTGAGTAGTTGAGTGCCCAGCCCTTCTTCACCTGTGCCATCTCTTACTATTGCTACAGAAAGCCTGCCGTGTCACGCTGCTTTTGTGGCTCCTGGATGGAAGTGTGCTGTCTTGTGTCCCGCCCCATTAAAGGACTGCCTCCGACCACCCTCGGTGTGCTGTTTGTGGACATTCTGTTTGCAACACCTTTTCCAGCTCTTCCTGGGTCATGGGGAAGTTGGGTGGGATTGACATGCAGTGCTCTCCCTCAAGACGGGAGACCTGAGAGTGTGGTAGTACACACCGTTAATCCCAGAGGCAAAGGCAAGTGGATCTGTGAGATGGAGCCGGCCTGGTTACAGAGCGAGTTCAAAGACAACCAGGTATATATACCTAGTCTGGGGTTCCGTTTTAACCCATCGTCTGCCTTGCTTTCCCTGGCCTCAGAAGAATCCCTGCTCTTCTCTCTGCCTGGGCGAGCACCTTGTGAAGCCACAGGCACACAGCTTCAGTGTATTATATCCCTGTCTGACCTTGAGGAAGCTGGAGAGCGATAAGGCCAGGCTGCCTCCTGTGGTTGGCTCCAATGGAGCCTTGCTGTGCGTGGGGCGGGGCCTGGGGCCCTGGGCGGGGCTGGCCTGTCGCAGGCCGTCTCATGCTCAGCAGGCCCGCCCCTGGCGTGCGAAGGCTTCACTACGGCTCTGCGGCTGCGTCATAAAGCTGCTCCTCCCAGGCCAGGCTGCCCAGGCTGAGCTTCCGGCAAATCCGCTTTCACTTCGCTGCCTAAGGTGAGGGTGCGGTAGGGTGTTGGTGGTGGGTGGGGTGTCGCCAGCTTTGGCCTGATGCCTGATGGGCTTCTGTTACAGACCATGGGCGCTCTCCTGAGTGGTGGCCAGGATGGCCCGGAGCCTGCGCAGCCCCAGCCTCCGGCGCCAGAGGGTCCGCAGCAGCCTCTGCCCGAGCCCGGCCCCTGGGGACCACTGGATGATGTGCGCTTTCTAATCGCCTGCACATCCTGGTATTGACCCGGTTACCCCTGGCCTCTGCTCTCTTGGGCCTGGCCTGGCTTTTGTCTCTTCACCCCATGATTTCCTGTCTCACTTCCTCACTCTGGGCAGGGATTTAAGAAAGATCCTGGAGACTGGAAGTCCCACAGGGCGACCTTAGGGGACTGCTTCCCGACCCCAGACTTGTTCCCTTCCTCACCAGCCCCTAAACCAGATCATCTCCAAGCCCCTTTCCAGCTCCGCCCTGGGGCAGCCTTCCTGAACCAGAAGAACCAGGACCAGATGCAGGCCTCCTGGCTGGATCCTGATGTTGTCCAACTCTGGTTTCCCCTTCGCTAGAGCTGAGCTGCTGCAGGTGTCCCAGGTCATGGCCCCGTGTGCCCTGTCTCCAGAGAAGCCTTGTCACAGTGACCCTCCCATACTCCCGAGGTACCTGGGGGTAGGACATGTGATTGCTGAGATGCATGAGGCAACTGCAGAATACCCCAATGCACCCTTTTCTCCCTGAAGCTTCTTAAGGGCACACTTAGGCCCTGGTCCTTGTTCCCATACCCCAGGGAAAAGACACTGTATTTCTGTTTTATTTAGAAATGATTTAAAAAACATTATACAAAGGCTGATCAGTTTAAAATGTGACCGACACTAAAATGCTGTGATGTCATCCAGGCTGAGGGGAAGCTGAGCTCTGGTGGCCCCTGGTGCTTTGCCCCTCTGACTGCTCTGGCCTGGGGTGATGGACAAACAGATGATTGCAGGCAGAAGAATCCAAGATTGGAAGCCTCTAGGCTGAGCCCTCTGGGCCCGGCCCTGCATCCCTCACATTTGCAACCTGGGCTGCCTGCCTCCATCTCCTGCTCTTTCTCAACTGGTCTTGGAGTACCAGGAGCCAACAGGGAGCCTGCGGGGCCTAGAGCTTTCAAGAAGTGAGAGCACCAACCTGAGGAGAGGGAGGCCCAGAAGATAGGAATAGAAAAGATGTTATCTCAGACCCTAGAAGGGCCCCACAGATGGGAACACAGACCAGCCAGGGCCACTAGATGGCAGGGGCAGACAAGACCTCCCTGTGCTTCACCTGAGGGCAAGATGAGTGTAACCCTCAGCCTCTTAGGGCCTTCATGTGAGTGGACAGACGTGAGCTAATAAAGTGCTTCGCAAAGTATAAAACACTGTACAAACCTATGAATCACTAAATCTCTGCAGTTGTTCCCCGCCTGCCCCAGGGAGCCTGCCCTTGGCTGAAATGAGAAGAAACAGGATGATGACGGGACACATCCATACAGATAGATGCTTCTGGGACAAGAGTTTTTACTCAACAGCTCCCAGGGCAGCAGGAGTCCCTGTCTGTGCTACAGGGTAAGCTGACCCAAGTCCCAGAGGCCACAGGGCAGGGCAAGGCCCATGCAGGCTCAGAGGGCAGGGTTGGCGACCCACTAGCACCCTGAAGGCTGCCTCTTACCGCTTTTGGACTTTGGCAGCGAGCCAGCGAGCATTACTGCACCCATTGGTCATGACAAGCATGCCAGACTGGAGCAAGTCGAGTCAAAGCCTAGGAACTCCTGTCAGTGTGAAGAAGGGTCTCAGGTTCAAAAAAGAAAAAGAAAAAGAAAAGCGGGGTGGGGTAGGGAGTGAGGGGAAGCCCCAAGCTTGGGGCTGCTACCAGCTAGGAGTACCCCTTTCCTAAGAGCAGTGCAGGAAGATGGACCCAGTGAGCTGGGCTGCCAGGGTCAAGACTGGAGCACAAACACCATCTCCAGGCTGAGAGATTGAGTTACCTCAGGGTCACTGGGGATGTGGATGGAGTACTTAAAGGGCTGCCCTGGTCCTTTACTCTGAGGCTATGACAATGGTGGCCCTAGACAGAGCCATCTCTGCTTCACCTAACTAGTCAGGTTGAGTCCCCATGCCATAAAAGACAGGCTGGAGCAGGGCTGGGGACATGAATGGAAAGGGAGTAGAGGTTGGTCACAAACTCGGATCTGCCTCCAGAACCAGGAGCAGCTCCTGCTCCAGCTGTGGAGCCTCCTGAACAGGACCCCTGCTAGTATCAGGATCCTAGAGTGGCCTTGGCAGCACCGTGGTCCTTAATGCCCGGGGAAGGGCCATCACACTGGCCTCATCACCAAGACAGTCACCTCTAATTGACCTAAAGCCTCAAGTAGCCTTTGCAAAATGGGACTTTAAACAGTAGTGACAGGACATTTAAATATTCACGACATGACAGCTGGGTCCTTGGGAGACCCAGCCGGGCCACAGCCTTGCCTGCAGCATGTGACCCTAAATCCTGGGTCCCAGGGGAGACCTGACAAGTGGGCAGGTTTCCTGAGGAATCTGCTATTGGCTAGCAGGGGAAACCCAGGCTTTTGCCCACTGTGTTGGCAGCAGGGGCACTGCAGCCCTGGAGGAGAGTTGGGGAGGGGTGAGGAGACATCTGACCAGCAGGTGTTGGCAGAGGAGACGGATTGGTGGCATCTTGGGGAAGGGGGTGGGGTGAGAACTAGCGCTGGCCTGCCTCAGAGGGCCGGGTCCAGCCAGGCTTGCAGCTTCAGTACCTTCAGACACCATAGGATGCAGTGACCTCAGGGGCACCTCCTGGCATGATCCTTGCCTCCTGACAGGGCCTGGCCTATTCCTTTGAGTAGAGAGTGATCTACCCAGGCCAGCAGGCTGGCAACCGGGTGTCAGCTACCCAACTTGGGGCACAGCCACCACCACTCCCTGCCCCACACTCATCCTAGACCAATGCACCCACCACTTCAGCTACACACGAACCTGGCCTAGGGCCCTGCTGGCCCCGGTGGGCAGTGGCTAGAGCTGCCCCTCAGACCCTGGTGAGGAAGGGCCTGGCTGGCCAGACTGGGTAGACAGAGAGGGCTCTGGGCTGCTCATACCCATTCCTGGACTGGCCGCTTATAGTAGGTGACGGGCTGAGGACCCGCCTTGTTCTTGAACTGGAAGATCGTGTAGAGCAGCACCAGGAGGCAGAGGGACAGGGTGCAGGGGACAACCACAGCCACGGCATTCACGGAGCCCGGCACATCGTCGATGGTCACCATGATGTCCACATCATCCTGGGGCAGCCTCCGCTCCTTACGCCGCTCTACCTCCTTCTGCTTGCAGCCCATCCAGTCACGCAGGATGTTGCGTGGGTAGCCTGGCTCCACGCTCAGTTTCTGGTTGTCAAACTTCCAGTAGTCCCGACCTTTGTAGAAGTAGGTGTAATCTGCAGGAAAGGGAAGGGCTCAGCACCACCACTCCCGGACACTCCCCAGCACCTGCTCTGGACTAGTGTAGATCTGGGGTGCTGTGTCAAGAGAGAAACTCCACGTGGAATGGGGGGGGGGGGAGCGAGTGGCCTGCTGGCACCGAGGTGGTCGGTGAGTGCAGTACTCCCCTGATAGTGCAGTAACTAAGAAAGCAGAGGGGGCCCCAGGACATGGAGCATACCACCTGTTAGTTCAAAGGTGCCGGGAACCCTCTAAGGGATTTTGAGTAGAGCTGACAAACGCTTTAATTTATACTGCCCAGGCTGGATCATTCTTAGTCTGGAAACAGCTCTGTCATGCTGTGCCCCAGGCTTCCTATAAGGGTCAGATCAAGCCCCCAGTTTAAGGCTTGTACAGTGCCATCTCCATAGCTCCAGGGCCTCAGTTTAACTCTTGCCCCAAGCCAATGGGAGTTAAGGGGCAAAATTTCTTCTTCTGGCAGCAGACACCATCGCTCCACAATTACAGACTGGGGGGGGGGGCGCTTGATATATATCACTTTGTAACACAGATACAAGTTCTTAGGACACTTCGAGTGGCTTTGATGGCTGAAAGGAAAGAAGGCATGCAGCAGGGCCAGGCAACTCGCCAATTACTCCCAAGGCAGCTCCCTCAAGGCTCCCAGCAACAGCCTTAGCAACTCAGCCAGCCAAGCAGCTCATAGACTCTCCTCATTGGCTGGCTCCCCGGGACTTTCATTGGTCAAGGTCTTTGGTGTCACCTGTCTCTGAGGCTCCCCACCCCCCAAAGCATCCTGTTTTGAAGCCACTAAGCAGTGGTGTCTGTCCCCTGCCTTCTTTATTTCTCTTTTAGCTCTGTTGTGATGTAACTTGCTGTCACTGGACTGAGAAGAATGCAAGCCTTACAGCTTCTGTCCTGAGCCCTCCCACACAAACTGGCTCTCAGTAATGACCATGCAGCAAATGACTGAGTCCTGTCATCTTACACAAACTGAAACACTAATGAGAGGGTGAGGACAGCTATAACTTGTACATGGCATAGACCATGTGGTGGCCTTTAGGCTAGGTGCTCTCTGTAATTTACCTTATCAGTCTTTTATTGATCATTCCCATTTCACGGACAGTAGAGTGAGAAGAGTTCGATGACTTGCCCAATCTTATGAGTGGTGGAGGAGGGGTCTGTGAACCCAGCCAGCCCTGTTCAAGAGTCAGTGCTTTTAGCCAGACCAACAGGCAGTTTTGGGTGCTTGCTCAGCATCTGGTAAAGACTGACCCTCCTTTGAGTAGCTTCTAATCTGGTAGGTAGACAGACTGGGAGCTTCCTGATAGCACATGGTGAGCAATTGCCAGCCTAGCCTTCAAACCCCATGAAAAAGCACCTTTGAACCACCCCTGTCCATCACTGCAAGTTAATTTACTATATGAACATGGTCCATTTGGGGCAGTTGTGTGTTATCAAGTTACATTACTCAAATCTGGATACCCAGAGAATATGTCTGGGCCCTGAGAACCACTAAAATTAACTCCCCATTCCCACCTCAGCTTGGTCCTTACATCCTTCCTTGCTGATGAAGGCCCCTTGTGGAGCCTGCGGGATGCCCTTCCACACGGTGATGGGCTTGGGGTAGCCAGGGTCTGTGGCTCGCCGCTCCTCGCTGTAGCGCCAGTACCGTTCGCCTTTGAAAAAGTAGGTTTTGCCCACAGGTTCCCAGCGCAGAGCTGTGTCGATTCCTTCACGGGGCAGGCAGCTTCCCAACTCTCCCAAGCTGTGGGGGTACCCAGGCTCCACGGTCACTTCTTTGAACACCCAGTACTTGTCGCCTGCGGGAAAAGTACAGAATCAGCTTTCAGGAGCCACCCAGTGCTAGAAGTGCTGGCCCCCTTGCCCATCTTCATTCATAAAGTCAGAATGTATGTGTTCTTAGCCCCTGACCCAACCAATTTGGGGAGCGAGAAGCCAATCATAGATTTTGGGCAGTGGGTGCCATACATGCTACGTAGGCTCTCTGTCCTGCCGTCTTGGTTTTGTGACTCCTTTTTGAGACAGTCTTGTTTTTTATCCTTGACTAGCCTGGAATTCATTATGTCGGTCGGTCTGGTCTCAAACTTTCAGGGGTCTGCCTCCTAAGTGCTGGGATTATGGGAGTAATCACCACACTTGGCTACCCTCTTTCATTTTTGGTGATCCCTGCTGTTCTGATGGAGCAGTACCTACTCCTGCAACAACCCGGAACCTCGGTGTCTTCATTATGTTCGGAACCGGGAAGGAGCTAGTGTCAGTGGAAGTCTCCATAGACGAGCAGTCTCGGATGGAGGAAGCCACAGTTTTTGCACACATTGGTCAACTGTTAACAAACATTCCCACCTGGACCACAACAAGGCTTTACCAACCTAA